AACGCGAACAAAGTCGCGGGAAAAGTCTAGTATTTTTTTTATTAATCTTGGTCACTGCATATACTGGTTGCTCTATTACATAATAAAGGAAAACGGCTCTTTTTTTTCTTCTTTTTTATACATTTCCCTCACTATTTCTTTCTTTTTCATATTGGTACCACGGCTAAGGGTATTGCGGCGGGTTGCTGTTGGCTACCTCCGCGGCTGTTCTGGACCAAGCCCACAATCCTGGGCGACTCTGGTTCTTGGCTGCAAATTGGGGCTTTAGGCTCCCGTTTGCTCCTTTTATTTTCCATCTTTTATTTTCGTTTCTTCATCAAGTTTTTTTTCATCTCCTGGGTTTAGAATTTTTTTTAGAATTTAGAATGAGTGGGAGGGGGGTTAATCACTGCGACCTTACAGATCCATTGTGTCCCCCTTTCTTGAGTCATAACTCATCATACAGTCCCAGGGCTTTGACAAAAGCCAGTATCTGGGACGGTTTTATAGAGGGTAGTTCTCCATCTCCAATATCAGTCGTACCAAAATTCATGGCACGAATGGTTGTCGTCTCGGCGCACTCAGTGATGAGGTGTACTGGTGTTTCCCCATCTTCCCCACAGAATCTGCATTCGCCGTTTCTTCTTAGTTTCAATCTACTGAGGTGTTCATTGAGGAGACAGTATCCTGTTAAAAACCACGTGACAATCCGAAGATTGTTCTTACTTAAACCCAGGAAGATCTGTGATTTTTCTTGATCATAAGCCCTCAGAAACTTCTTCGAGTGTCTCAGACCGTTGCAAGATTTCCATTCCAGGTTGCGGATGAAATCTTCCAAGTTCTTGAGTTCCGCCTTGAGTTGGTTACCACTTAGAAAGCAGAACGGTTCTGGTCCAGTTAGTGGAATGTTCGCTCCTTTACTAGCTAGATTATTTGCTTTTTCATTGCCTTCTATCCCTTGGTGAGCAGGCACCTAGAGTAGGAAGACTTTGTTTTCTTTGCCTAATTTATTCAGCTTCTCTATGCATTCTTTGACCTATTTCGAATTGATTGATACTGAGTTGATCGCTTTTAACGCTGCTTGACTATCAGACAAGATGGCTATTTCTTGTTTCCGATAGTTCCTATCTAAGATAAGTTGTACGCATCTTTTGATAGCGTATATTTCTGCCTGTAGGATACTAGGGTAAGTGCCCATTGGTTCGGAGTATTTAGCTCTCGGCCCAAACACTCCGATCCCTGTTCCCGTATTGGTTTTGGAAGCATCTCCTAGGTTGCACACGGTACCTCGTTGCATCGTTTGCTTCCTGGTTTTTTGTGTTTTGGGATCGGTTTCTTCGCTTCCTGATTCCTTACCGTACTGATGAAGCCTGAAGGCAGTTACATTAGTGTGCACTAGTGTAGGTGTGGTTGTGTGAGTGTGTGAGTGTGCATGTCTGCACTGGTGTACACTGGTGTATACGGTTACGAGTTGTTGAGGGCTGAGCCGTTTAATCTTTTTATACATTTCCCTCACTATTTCTTTCTTTTTCCTATTACATAATGTTTTAACTCTTTTTATTCTAGTTAGAATGGTACTACTGAGAACGTACTAATATACAGAAGTCTTAATGGATTCAATGGTTCTACTGACAAGAATGGCAGAAATCACAGACTTATCCTGAAATGGCAGACAGAGGTGTTTCTCTTCGTCAATCATCAACCTAACGAAAGAAATCCGCTAGTATATTGGGTCCATTACATATTATAAAGGTATCATCAACATATCCAACCAAGATTTTGCTTAAAAGAACAAAAAGTTTTCTCCATTTTATACAAATTTTCACCAATTCTTTACCACCACATCATATTATGGTTACCCATTTCCTTAACAAGTTTCATTAATTTTACTTTAATTTTTTACTCAAAAATTATTTGAAAAAGAATATATAGTGTAATTAATTCATCCTAAACGCTTACTAATCACAAAAAAAATCGTTTAATAAAAAGCCATCTACATATGTAGCTGTATAAATATATTAAAAGTATAATTTGAAACAAGCCCTTGTATAAATTGCAATAGAAGGTCATCCCTATGGAAATAACGATTTCCGTTAGAATTGTTTTAATGTTTTTGGTCAGTTTGTCACAATTGTTCCGGTTGAATCAAGCCAATCAAGTACAGAATAAAGGTAGCAAGTTTAAAACTTATAATTAAATACAATTTATCAATACACTTCATGAAATTTTATATATTTTTATGATTAAAAGTTGTCGTTATTACATTTGTTTAAAAAAAATATAATTTAATGAAGTTTTTTTCTGTTTTAGTAGTGCATTTATGAAAATGGATCAATATGAAGGCAAAGTAGCTATAGTTACTGGGGCATCAGCGGGTATTGGAAAAGCCATAGTAGAGGCACTTGTAAGACATGGTGTTCTGGTAAGTTCTCTTCATAAAATAATTTTTTCCATAGCAACTCTTAAAATTGCTTTATATCTATCAAAAACAGTAGATAAAATAGTACTTTAACCGCAAAGGTAGATTAAATGATACTTTAACAGCGAGGATAGGTTAAAAACTTTATTTCTTCTCGCACATTTTTTAATTGCTTCCATTTTTGAAAATTTTTGTATTCCTTTTCATAAGGTATTCGGGATTTAAATCGAAGTGGTTTGGATATGGCGTTTGTCACCTCAGCCTGAATATCTGTTTGTACGATTACCATATTTATAGTAAAGTAAGAACAAACCATCTAAACTAAATACCTATAATATAGTTTTAGTTTCAAGAAAATTCTTGTATTTTTAATATATTTTTTTTTAATAAAGGTTAAAAAATATATATTTTCTATTTATTTATTAATATCTCTAAAACTATTGAAATATAGTTACTCATATCTTAAGATTACGTAAAGTGATCTAAAAGGAAACCAAAAATGCAATAATATACAAGGTGTTCCATTTAAATAAAATCATCCCGATCAACCCACACTTTTTACAACGTAAAATAAAACAACAAATTATTGAGTCTACCCCACGTCTACCCTACATCATAGTTTTACATTTTTTAAATAAAATTAGAACGACACTGATAAACCGGAATTTAAGTCGGCCATATTTGAGGCCCATCGCGGTGTACCTAAGATTTTTGATATGCTCCTTCCTTAGTGTTCTTATTCAAAGGATAAAACAACGAAAAATGTCAACGTTACTTGAATTTCATAACCTGTTGTTGAGTTATGTCAACCTAGCTTTCTATGGAAATGTTATTAAATAAATAAATAAATGCCTTGATTGTCAAAATTTTTTACAATTTATAGACAAAGTTGCCCTTACCTGGACTGTCTGACACAATTCCGTAATAGTCTTGCACAAAAAAAGAAAATTATGGTTACTGTTACGACCATAGATTATATACTTACGTGGATAAATCAACGCCATAAGTTTGGCTTTAAAAAACATATCTCATCACGACATGCCATTTTTAAACCTTTTTTATTGCACTTATGAAACGTTCAATAGGTATGTCTTTCTCGAGGATCTTACTTTGTGCCATGCGCAATAATGTTTGTAATTGTATTTGTGTATATGTATAATGTTTACAATGTCAAAGAATAAAAAAATAAAAATAAGATTCCAAAATACTTAGTAAGTTTATAGTAAATATAGTAGCAAATAATAGACCAGTGTTTACAAGATCAAATTCGATTATCAAAATATAAGTCATTTACGGCCTAGAAAGCCTTGTCTAGTAAATAAGATTTCAATGCTTGTTGCAATGAACTTTTAACTAACTCTGAGCGTGGGATAGGTAGATAAACATTTTGCTCCGCGTTCCTGAGTGGATAAATGTGAGATGGCCTTTCTTGAGAAGCTGATACATGCTTAGGTATGAGGCAAACGGATTCAAATATAAATGAGGAAGGAAGAGTTAATATTTTTAATTTAAAAAAAAAAATCCTGGCAATGAGTTCTGCTGTTTAGTCCCAGTGAATATCGAACGGCTCTCTTCTGGAGCTTGAAAATGCGGTCAAATTGAGTCGCACAACACGTGCCCCAGAATGGAAGGGCATACCTGAGGTGCGACTCAAAAAGTGCATAATAAACAGTTCTAGCCACCGACAAGTTAAGCTCCTTAGAAACAGATCTTAATGCAAAACAGGTAGAGCTTAATCTTTTCGCCAAAGCGTCGATATGCATGTCCCATTTTAGAAAATTGTCTACAACAAGCCCTAAGAATTTTACAGATTTTACGACGTCAATGGTGGTGTTGTTAAGTACAAAAGGCTGCAGCGAATTTTTATACGACAAAGCTTTACTTTTAGAAATGTTGGGACTCAGGAGGTTCGAATCGCACCAAGATTTAATGGTGATTAAGTCTTTTGATATAATCCTATGAAGTGCCGTGACGTATTTGTTCCTCAAAGTGAAGCTAGTATCGTCCGCAAAAAGACATATTTTACCACTGATGTTTATGTTAGCAATATCGTTAATAAAAAGAAGAAACAAAATAGGGCTTAGTACTGAGCCTTGAGGTACTCCACATTCTATTGGCTTGCTAGAAGATAAAGTGGTATCCACCTTCACAATTTGACTTCTGTTGCTCAGATACGACTTAAACCATTCGAGAGATGTTCCCCTGAACCCATAGTGCTGCAGTTTATTAATTAGGATCTTATGATTATTTACACAGTCAAACGCCTTAGAAAAATCACAGGAAATTGTTACTGTAGAATAATGGTTATTTAGGCTGGAGTAAACTTTATTAAGGAGGGAAAACATAGCGTCATTTGTGGACTTGTTGCTTAGAAATCCAAATTGATGTTCAGTAAGTAATTTGTACTTAAACAGAAAAGATACCAGCCTTCCTTTAACCAACCTTTCTATGATCTTAGATAGCGTTGGAAGGAGTGCAATTGGGCGATAGTTAGAAGCTTGATCTTTGTCTCCTCCTTGATGCAGAGGAATAATTATTGCCGTCTAATTATGCTGTCTTTCGATTAGGCAATCGAAACAATAACGGCGAAAGACTGCTGGGAATGTGCTCTAATTACCAACTAACTATCGGAGGCACACTTTTTCCTCATAACGTAGTCCATAAAGCTACATGGAAATCGCCAGATGGGCACACAACAAACCAAATTGATCACTTTTTAATTAGCCGGAAGTGGAGAAACTCACTTTTTGATGTAAGAGCGTACAGAGGAGCAGACATTAACAGTGATCATTACCTACTGATTGCTCAAATAAAATTAAAAATTGCAAAGATTCGGAACACACAACCGCTAAGACGTAAATTCGATCTTCGTCGACTGGCTTCTCCTAACATTCAAAACCAAATAAAGCACCAGATAGAAGAAATAAACATCGATAATTCAACTGTAAATATAGAAGAGAAATTGGAAGAAGTGAAAGAAAGCCTTCAAAAGATTGCCGAAGAAAACCTCGGATATCAGAGACATATTAAAAAGCCATGGATCTCAGATGGCACATGGGAAAAGATTAAAGAAAGAAAAGAAATTAAACAAAAAATTCTACAAGTTAGCCACAGCACACAAATAAGAACACTAGAGGAGCAATATCGCCCAAAGAATAAGGAAGTGAAGAGATCGGCAAGAAGAGATAAATGCTTGTGGACAGAAGAACTTGCAGAAAAAGCTCAACTGGCAGCTGAAATAAATGATTCCACGACACTTTATCGCACTACTAAAACGCTTGCCAATAAAAACATTAATAGGGAATGTCCCATAGTGAAAGATAAAGAAGGAAATATACTGACCTCAAAAGAGAATCAGCTGCACAGATGGACAGAATTTTTTAGTGAGCCTCAACAGGTAACAAATAATATTGATGAGGTACCAACGTCTCCAACAGAGAACTGCAAATCTAGAATCGCAACACGTGCTCCATCGATTCAAGAAATTAAGCAAGCATTATCACAGCTTAAAACTGGCAAAGCGGCAGGTCCTGATAATATACCCGCTGAACTATTTAAGATACACCCAGAAAACATTGTACAGCTACTAGAGACAATAATAAAAAGCAGTTGGGAAACAGAACATATCCCGTCAACGTGGAAAGAAGGACTTATTGCAAAACTCCCCAAGAAGGGCGACTTATCCCAGTGTAAAAACTGGCGAGGCATTACCTTACTTAACACCATTAACAAGATAATTGCTATAGTCATCCAAAAAAGAATATCAGATGCCCTTGAACCGACTTTGAGAAAAGAACAAGCAGGCTTTAGGCCTGAAAGATCATGTATCGACCAAATTAATACTCTCAGAATAATAATAGAGCAATCTCAAGAGTTCAGATCGCCATTATACATGGCGTTTGTGGATTTTCAAAGAGCATTCGATACTATAAAACACATAGCCATCTGGAAAGCTTTGAGAGAAAAAGGAATACCCGAAAAAACAATCCGCATGATTAAAATGCTTTATCATGATGCTACAAGCTGTGTATTACATAAAAGTCAAGCGGGGGAGAAAATTTCTATTGCAGTAGGTGTAAAACAGGGGTGTATACTTTCGCCGCTACTCTTTAACATCGTTCTGGATGTAGCACTAAATAGAGCATTTAAAGAACCACTAGGGATACAATGGGGACTGTTAAACAGGCTAGAAGACCTGGATTACGCAGACGATCTATGCATCTTTTCCCATTCACATTCGAATATGTCTCAAAACTTCTTAGACTCCAAGCGGAAGCTAATAACGTCGGTCTTCAAATATATATATATATATATATATATATATATATATATATATATATATATATATATATATATATATATATATATATATATATATATATATTATATATATTCTTCATAATGTTTATTAAAGTATTTAGGTGATTCAGAGTGCTTTCTGGAAGATTCGAAAACATTTTTAAAGTTAGCCCGTCGCGTCGGTCCCAGATGAGGATTTATTTTTGATGGTATTAATTCTACTGCAATGCTCTTCTAAAACTACGTGCGAAAAAAAGAAACTGTGTAAGTTTACATTATCATTAGATAGATATGGAAGTGAATCAAGAGAAGGACATATGGTATTAGTTAAATGTCTGGCTATATTTACAAAGTTATACATTATTCTTATTATACGAGGAAAATGTTGAAGATGCAGCATTTTCGATGTTTTGAACAATATTTATAGTTGCCAAATCGCAAATTATCAATTACTTATTGAGGAATATATAGAAGAAGAAATAGATTTCACTATAGAGCAAGAGAACGCACAAAATCACAATTTTTTCTGGGCGTTTAAAAGCGCTTAGCGTTTTCTGTTACAGAATTCGAGCCCACCACTTCTTATTATTGGATAAAGTACATTATAAAAGAAATTTATTCCCAATTATTCATACAGGTTGTAAATGTAAGACTACAAAACTGATATTGCTATACTCTGTCATGTAGTGCTACACATATAAGAAAAGGCAATAAAAAAGCAAGACAAATGGCTTGTTTTAGCGCAGCCCTATATCGAAGGCGCCCACCTTCGATATGACAAATACCCCAAACGTCAGTGGTATATCTGGCAAAGCCGGAAAGGATCCATTCCGAATATAAAAAGTACATAAAAGGAAGAGGAGACTGCTGCGGAAAATTCATTTTGATGTTACAGAAAAATCATAAGGAAAATTTAGCCAGTGTTGTCATTTCAATAAACTCTACAGAAAAGATCTGGTAACATAAAATTAATATCTATCTACAGTTGTGTGTATTTTAATTTTTATGCTAATAACAAGTATATTTTACTTTGAATGTGGATTAGACTATGATTCAGTATTAAAACTAAAACTTGTTAAAAAAAATTATTTCTTTATTTATTTTGGCTTACACGTTTGGTCGTTTTCAAAGGGTAGTGTTCGGCTTCCGCCCAACTATTTTACTGATGTTTGTGTTAGCAATATCGTTAATAAAAAGAAGGAACAAAATGGGGCCTTGTATTGAGCCTTGTGGTACTCCATTCTATTGGCTTGCTGAGAGCACGTGGTACCCCTCACAGTTGGACTTCTGTTGCTTTCAGATGTACTTGAAACCAGTCGAGAGATCCCCTGACCATGTTGGCAGTTTTTATTGGATATTCATGATTATTTACACGTCGAGCGCCTTTAGAAAATACAGGCAATTGTTGCTGTAGTTAATGGGTTTTTAGGTGGAGAGTACCTTTTAAGGGGAAAACATAGCGTTCATTTGTGGACTTGTTACTTAAAAATCCAAATTGTGCCAGTAGTATTTGTACTTAAACCGAAGTCACATTCTTGTCCTTTAACCCCTTTCTTGATCTTAGTGTTGAAGGAGTGCATTAGGGCGAGATTAGGCTTGATTCTTTGTCTCTTCCCGTTGATTGCAGAGGAAGTATTTTGCGTTTTAAACATTTTGGATGATTATTGCGTTTTAATCAGTGTATTAACGTTGTTAGGTGATTCAGATGCTTTCTGGCAGATTCGAAACTTTTTAAGTTGCCCGGTCGCATCGCGTCGGGTCAGATTGGGTATATTGATTTTTTTGATGGTATTAATTCTACTGCAATGCTCTTCTAAAACTACGTGCGAAAAAAACTGTGTAAGTTTACGATTCATTAGTAGTTGAAGTGATCCAAGGAGGACTTTGGTATGTTAGTTAATTTTTGTGCTACATTTTCAAGTTTACATTTTTCTTATTTAGAGGAAATGTTGAAGATGCGCAGTTTTGAACAATATTTTAGTTGCAATATCTAAATGTACAAATTATTTATTGAGGATTATATAGAAGAAGATAGTTTCTATCAGAGCATGAGACGCCAAATACAGTTTTTTTTGAGCGTCTAAAGCCTTAGGCGTTTTTCTGTTACGATTCCGAGCCCCATTTCTTATTATGGATAAGTACCTTATTAAAAGATTTATTCCCAAATTATTCATCAGTTTGTACTGTAAGACTTACAACTGATTTGGCTTACTCTGTCCGTAGTTTGATAATATAGAAAAGGCAATAAAAAAGCAGACAAGTGCGCTTGTTTTAGCGCAGCCCTATATCGAAGGCGCCCACCTTCGATATGACAAATACCCCAAACGTCAGTGGTATATCTGGCAAAGCCGGAAGGATCCATTCGATATAAAAGTACTAAAGGAGAGGGACTGCTCCGTCTTGCGCTGGAATAAAGGAAATGTTATTTATTGTTTCTGGTTTCACGTTAGAAGCAAAAGGTTTTTTGTCTTTTTTATAACCCCTTACACCCGCTTTTTATGGACTTTATGAGAGTGTCGGCACGCTGGTAAGGGTATCTGTCTCTTTTAACATTGAAAATGTTTCTGTTATCCTATATAAGGGAGCCCAAATCGAATTAAAATGCTACATTTGCCACACCATGACGTCCTCCGGCTTCGTATAGGAAATTGCCCGGCTGGCGGAGATGGACTCGCTATCTGTTGTATTGATATATCTTTTTAGTTTAAGCAAAATTATGGGTTTGCTTTGTTACTTGTCAAGGAATAAGCGAACTTATAATTGTTCTTTTTTTCATTTAGGAAAAGAAAATAAAATATAATAAAAGTTTATTTAAAAAAAAGTCATTTAAAACCAATTTTTTCGCTGATTGATTGTTACATTGTTTTAAAGTTTTTTAATAAAAAAAAAAAATTGGAAATGTTTTTTTTTGTAATATTATGTAAAAATTACTCCCTACGGAGACTTTGTTTGTTTACTGGATCAAAAAATAAGTATTTGTTTTTCTATCAGGTGGGTATTAATATATCGATTTTTGATGATAGTGCCTTTTACCCGGTCTAATTTTTGTACTACTTTCGGGATAAGGGTCCCCATATCACGTAATTTACTTCCTTCCCTGAAAATTCGTTGTGATTAGCCGAAGGGAACATTTTATAAATGGTTTAGATTTGTTTTGAGTATTTTATCGTTTAATCGGTATTTTTTTATGTAAACGAATAAATATTAAAAATTACAAAAAAAAAAAAAAAAAAAAAAAAAAAAATTATTTGTCATTGTCATGCATTGGTGTGTCAGTTAGATTATAGAGATATATAGTCAAGTTTTTAGATATTTTAGGGGTTAGTTAATACCGTCAGCTTTATATACACAAATATTAGCACAAAGGTTCGTTTAAGGGACATAGTGATTTAGTGAATTGTTATGCAGCGTTTTTAGAATGTCATCTCTTGGTGCTAATTTGATCGAGCGATATTGTATGTATGGAATATTCTACTAGGAGATGAATTCTACAGAAGAAGAATAAGAGATTTTTGAATTCATCAACCAAATGGGTAAACGTTGTAATATATAACCTTGCGTTGCTCTGGATATAACATAAATATTTGCAAAGAGGGATTGATTTAAGACATGGTTATTATTTGAACATAGGAATTTATGAAATTCATACTGGGAATAGGGTAGAATAGGGAATAAAGTTTGCTGTACGGAAATGCATTACTAACATTAGAGTGATAATTTATTTACAGGTTTATTTAGTGACATCAATTTGAACGAATTTTCTTCTTTCATTTCCTGATTCTGGATAGAAATACTAGGATTATTAGTGTCGGATAAAATAATAATAGGGTTTTCAGAAACGACATTTTATGTAGTATTTCTTTTACTTTCTAGCGAATTCGCCATTTTTCTTGACAAAATAATAAATAATTATTTTAACTATTTTTATTTTCCAAAAAAAATTTTTTTTTTGAGATTTTGAATTTCGACTTTGGTTCGAGTTCTAAAACACCATATATATAATTATTAAGACATAACGAAGCCGTGCCAAGAGAGCGCTAAATTCGGTTTATTTAATTCATCCAATAACGTTTTTTTTGTATTTTTATCACTTTATTATTTACTATTTTTTTTTTTTTTTACATTTCATATTTTCATGCTTCTGTTGCTTTTCCTGTAATGTTTTGGTCTTGAAAATTATTTTGTGTTACAGAAAAATCATAAGGAAAATTTAGCCAGTGTTGTCATTTCAATAAACTTACAGAATTGGTAATTTATATACAATAACAGTTTATGTACATTTTCAATTATAATAAAATAAAAGTTATTTTACTTTGAATGTGTTGTAGCTATGCATCAGTATTAAACTAAGATTTCGGCTCTTTGTTTTATTTTATTTTCTTACACCGTTTCGCGACGTTTGTATATTTAATATCTTCGTATTCATTACGGTTTCCGAGATAGATTTTCCTCGAGTTTCTGCAGCCCTGTATACAGCAGTGTATAATGGATCCTGCTTTTTTGTTCTTAATTTTTAGTTCTGCGTAGGGGTCTCTGTTTTGCTTCTCATCAGATGGTTCTGTAAACTGCCGCGACTTGGAGTACTTGGAAGTTCCTGTTATCAGCTGGTGGCTTCCTTTCGTCCTTATATATATATAAATATAATAAAAAAACATGAGAGAAAAATCAGACGCTGCACACAGCTTGAATAAAGGCAGTTATCAAATGTATAAGTAGTCCAAAAATAGGAAAAAACATATCATCTAAATATTATATAAGATATAAGTTACAATTAAAAGAAAACAGACAAATAATAAATAATAAAAAAATAGATCATATATAATTATCACGAGGAATCGCGGAGGCTAACTATACAATAATAAACGTCAGTCAAGGGATCAAACATATAACGAAAGGGCTTCAAATTAGGTATTACTATGTATGAATACTTACAAAATAAAACAGCTAAATAAAAAAAAAAAAAAAAAAAAAAAAAAAAAAAATATATATAATAAATTATATAGAATACACAGAAACAGATATCACAATATTCATGTGAAGAAATCAGTCGAACAACCAGCAATACAACAAGAGATAAAGATATATATAGAAATAATCACACATGACTTTGAATTATCTGATATTTCCAAAGTTACTGAATCCATCACATTTAACTTTGAATTCAATCAATCCATTACAACACGTAAATAATATTAACAAGACAGTAGTTTCACGAGACTGTGGAAATTATAACTAGCTAACAGCACAAATTAGATTTTGAAATAAGAACGAATATAAAAGATAAAATAAATAAACTAAAAAAAAAAAAAAAAAATATATTATAATAATAATAAATAATTATTATTTATATAATAAAAAAGCGAGAATGAACATTATAATATTGAAGTATACATTAATGTATCGATAAGTTGTTTGATATACTCTGTTGAGTGGTCTCCGGGTTTATTGAAATTAATATTCTTAATTTTTATATGGGTGTGGTTGAGATATACTGCACGATTTATTATTCAATTTCTAACGAATGATTATATGTGTGTTAGGGAGTGAATGAGAATACAGTGGGAGGAATAATTTTCATAGTTCGTAATCGAATCAATTAAAAAATGAATAAATGTAATAAAAAAAATGAAGAAATATTTATTTTTTTTTTTTTTTTATTTATTTAACACTTTTCCATATTGATATTAATAATATACTATCTATATGAATTCACATCAGGATATTGTGTAGAGGGTAATTGTTAGGAAAAGTTTATTGATAATAATTATAATATAAATAATAGAATATGTAATAAACAATATATGTGTATGTATTGTATATTAACACTGCCAAAAAACAAC